ACCATTACTGTGTTATAGATTTTGATATATTTTGTTATCTAACAACGTTCTTCTTATTACGGTACCTATCATGATCGTGAAGTTCGTGAACTCACTCATCACAAGTACATAAGCTGCATTCTATCGCGTCAACAGCACAGCAGTCTATCATTTGACCTCGCATCACCGAAATGCGCCACATGAAATCCGTTTTTTTTAATTTTACCAGTCAGCCGGAGAAAAAGATCATGTTTATGGTATCTAAAACGATTAAGCGAATTCTGTTATACAAGAAAGAGAAAGGACCNCACACACACGAATGTTACCTACTTTGTAAGACGGTCAAACAGGCTGTACAGCCTCCAAGGCCAAAGTAATCACCCGGTCCGGAGCAGAGTCGTGTCTCGGCAGAAATGACCGAGTGTAGGCAAGTAGGGTGACAAGGTAAACATTGATTTGTGCCGGGTTCCACGTACGTGTGAGTAGGGCACGTTCGTACACAGTTCTCCTTGTGCTTTTGGGAGGAAACACAGAGAAAAATGTAGCCAAATTATAATCAGTTTGCTAGCAGTCTGGAAAACGAAAACGACTACGATCATATCAATACGATTTAATCAATTATTATTATCGAATGCATGATTGTACAGTCAATTTTCACAGGAAGAGAGAAGCGATTATCAAAACTATCCCACATGGGATTCTCAATCATGTGGAATAGTCAATTGGAGTGGATCAAATTCGATCAGACGATCTCCGAGGAGACAAGGGATAGTGACGAATTTAAATGGAGAACAAAATCGGTTAGGAAAGAGTTTCTCCAATAAGTATAACACCAGTGAGGAAATTCTATTCTGACCCGGAATGGGAGGGTAGGCCACCAAAAGAATCGATCAATCGATAGATCGCACACATCGTCGACCCTCATTGTGGAGATTGAGTACACAATTTTATATTCTATTATTGCGTATATATATGTATATATATATAGTACTTTGAATGAAAGTGAATAAAATATACGAGAAATAATTGTCTCCAGAATCAGATTGCTTCCTCCCGTCGTTTTATGCAGGCGGTTAATAGGTGAACGCTGTTGCTATTTCACTATGTGCAATTGCAACTCTCAAGCTTTGTAATAAATCAATTTGTCTAACAATCCAACTTTTTCGCTTGATACATATATCTTGCTTTCATTGCCTCAAGATACTAATCAGTGTCCAGTTCAATCATAAGGAACAATAAGAATAAGTAAACCTGGAAAAATTGACAAAATTGCGAACCATTTTGAAGAATTAGAGATCTTAAAGCAAAGCTCATTCACACTTGGTGATTTCATAAACGCATACGGTGTCCGGGTTACACAAATTATGCAGGCTGGTCGGTTATCCGGGCAGACAGTCACACTGGATAAAGTGGAAATCGAAAACGTCTCAGGTGGCCAAACACATTTGTGGACCGATTGTCCTTCAACTTATTTACGGTCAACAAGCCGACAGATCTCGCCTTATCGAAACTGGGGCAGATTTCATTGAAATCGGACAACAGCTCAAGAAGAATGTGGTTTAAATAATCTATAGAATGTACTGTATCATATGGACAGAACAGGTGAACTGAGAGCGGTAAACTCAAGATCACGAAACTGTTACATCAGTCCTCCGGAGCCGGAGCGGGGGGTTGTAAAACAAGTCACCAATAAACTTTACTCACCAAGGCCTAGGCATCACAGAAATCCCCAAAGTTAAACCGGTCCAGTGTAAATCTCAGATGAAAACCGGATGTGAATGATCTTATGAATTCATAGCTAATTTTCCAAATCACTAAGTTTTGTAGCCCGGGTTATCCTATCTGAATTGACCAGCAAACAAATCAACAAACCTTGGTGACAATAAATGAAACGTACATACACATTCAAACATTTAACGCATTAAACTTCGTCGCAAGCAACTGCGGATGTCAATAATTCGACAGTTTGGAAGCAATTTGGATTTTTTTTTAATCGGTGCGTGTTTTAGTCGTGTGTTCCAGTCACTCATTCAGATAGTTAGCCGTGTGTCAAAAATAGGTGTTCAGAGAACCACTAAAGATTAGTGACAGTATCGTTATTATTATTATTACTATTATTATATTTCACCCATGGCTGACACCACACACGATGTGCCAAATAAATCATGGTACAATAATCCTTATAAAAAAGAGAAAAAAATTCCATGATTTACTTAACCATAAATGAGCCAGCTGGTTATGTTCGGAAGAGACTAATGATTGTTCGATAAACTTTTACAGACTTTGAGAATGATGTTTCTAAAAACAGGGGGAGATTAATCAGTCATCAAAGTTCACAGTATTTGTTTGAGGGCGGAAGTGAGAGAACGAACAAAATGTTGCTCTTCGTCTCCCGAATATAGACAGAAACGTTCGTGCGTTCGGGTCGCAATATGCAATATGTTTTACTGAACTGAACGTGTCTCGTAACCATATGAACGGTGCAAGGCAGCTGACCTGTGTGGTTTGTCTAGGGTATGTTTGCACCAACGCATGTCGATTGTCAGCATACACTGACTAGGATCCAAAAACACGATGATTGAGGTGCATATCACGGTACTGGATGAATACTGGAAAGCTGACCATCAAGTTCGAATGTGGTGATCTGGAACGCTCTCTGATGCGTATTTCCTCTTTCTAGGGCACTTTGAATACAATTTTCCGGAAGGGGAAATCGGGCATTCAAACATTTGTCATACACTACACAATGGAGAAAATTGGGCGCAAGGTGGTGGAATTCGAAAACACATTTTCCGGAGTGATAATTTCGTGAACTTTACCACCGGTTCACTAGCGCTCCGTATGTGAATAAACTGTCGTTTCTGGCTAAATATTTTGTTGTTATTGTTGTCTTTGTTGTTTCGAGAAATTCAGTTGACAAACTATAAATGTCACTGGGGAAACAGATTTCCCCAGATTCAATAATACAAACAAGCACGAATAAGCGAAACTTCATCATATGAATGTGATGTATGAGAGCACGGTTGCACAGCGGTTCCATCTCCCCACCCCATCCGACAGCAAGCGCACCGGAAATAGAAACAACGAAACATTATTCCCATGAATTCCAACATTTTAATTTCTTCTCTATTTCCATAAACGCGTGCTAGTCACCCGCTAGAACGGCAGCCTGAATGAACATATCTACGCATATCCGAATGATGTGCCCCCGACTACATAAACAATCCACTGTAACCCCACTCCTTTCGCTGTGTCGGTGCAATCAATGCGAACTGCGCTATTCGGATTGTGACACGCGCATTAGAATTTTGGTGTTTTTTTAAGGTTGAAACATGTCAAAGGTGACTTATACAATCTCCGAAAGAACTATAGCGAATCGAATAACCATATGTGGAAACTTTGTTAAAAGTTGATTATTGTAGAACAATGAGTATGTTACACTTTATGGTACGAGACACTTGTTTGTCGGAAGCCAGTGGATACAGGCAGGGTTTATATATGTCGATCGGACAGTCAAAACGCCCTGGTCGGACTACGAACACACAGATGCAGCGTAATTGCTGAGGAAACTATTCTTTGATTGCAATCCGATCCTTCGTCCCAGATATCCCGTAGAAGTATAACATGACTGCTGTTATCTTTTCGGAATCAATTTCATTCTGTGAATCTACCTTTCATATCGTCCATGATTTGGCAAGGAGAGCACTTAATGGTGGCGAGAGAGAGAGAAAGGGGGCATTTCCGGTGCAACGATATGCTGATCCGTGTTTGATCAGTCCCAATCGGGGCAGGTAGACCTGGACTATCATTGTTTACCATAATATCTGTTCACCGGAAGTGCAATTATGGGATTATGCCTAGCCTCATAATGAACAATAGATGTTTCACAAACCAGGGGGACATGTGAGACCGGTGCTAGTATTAATATGACAACACACAAAGGTTTGCAGCAAAATTATTACCATCTGATCAGTTTAATAGCCATTTGAGTTTGGCTGACCGAAAATCACGCTCAGTGATTGAGTGTTACTTTATTTTAATTCGCATGTACTACACTCGAGTCGGGAGAGGAGATGAGAGAACACAGTACAATGTAGCCCTCGTTACATCTAGTCATTAACTAAGAAAATAATGACCACAAAGCGTCTTTTGTGCAATGTAATACCATAGAACAGAGCACTAATAAAAATAGTCCGCGCGAGATAGATAAGGGCTTTGGATCACATCCATTCATACATAGTACATGAAGAAGTGTGGGAATTGAAATAGTTCAGGGTATTCTCACAGCTACAGCATACCGTCGCATACCGTCTATCTGTGCTCATTTCTCCTATACCCAAATGTTTATTGTCGTGTATTTGGTTTGCTTGAGAGAATTATACGAGACTTTATCCACATCACACTTATGAAATACAGCCTAGACAGCTGAGTCAATATTGATCACAAAATCGGGACAGTAAAAGGACATCAGTTTTGCTGAGAGAGGGGATTCACTTGAGAAAACAATAACTGAAAGATCACATCGCTCACAGTTGAACTGGTATACACGAATCTAGAGACAGAATATGGGCACAGTAAAGTAGAAGAAATTGGAAAATACTTTCGCTGTAACTTTCTAAAATCGTCTTCGTGTTTCCCTGTGTGGTCGAATAAGTTTCACACATGGAATCCAGAGATCCAGTTCGTTATCTTTGCCTTAGTTGATTTATCTGTGTCAGTGAAACATACATGTCTGACGAGGATTGTGCAGACTGTCATGAACTACAGCAATTGCTGAACTTTATTCATAGCAATCGATTCTTGTTCGAGAACACCCAGCAAGGGTCACCCGAGGAACTGAAAAATAAAATGAGAACTCATGAATCTAAGACAGAGTAAATGATCAGTTGATGGGAGGGTATTGTACCTCCCGGGGAGGTCCAGTAGTTTGCACCGATTCAAATCGCCATGAGAGCTACGGATGAGAATATGCGGTAATGAATAGTTGTTTCAACTTACTTGAAAATGCTTACNATGCTTACATCCACCGTGACACTCATTTGGTCCGGGACCGTAACAAGTTTGTGCACATTCCTCGTGACATCGACTGCACTCCTGAGCGGGCATTCGACCGGCTCGTATGGAATCCACATCCACCACTTTGGACAAATATATTTCTTTGGCCAGAGTGGGACACGAGCCCGGGGTGTGTTGCTTAATGACCGGTGACTCGGATCGTCGAACCTCGTAGTAACCCGGGCGGTCAGTGCATTCCGACACACAATAGTCTCCGGCCTTCCGGTTGCAACAATGCGCACACATGTCCGCTGTTGGACCCCAACAGCCAGCCTCGGGTAGACATTCACTGTGACATACAGCATCCCGCTGGGCTGTCCAGGACCACAGAGAGAGAGAGAGAGAATAGTTCGCATAAGATGAAGGAGATCAACAATTTTTTGTCTGTTTCGCGCATTTTAGTGATTGTTTGATTGCATCTTATTGTACACCAAATAAGCTTTAGCTCTCTCCATATATATATGCATACATTTACATACGATTACAAAATCACCTCGTGTTTCGGCGTGTTAGCACAGTACAAAAGGTAAAATAAGCGAATCAGTCAAAAGATTCGAATTTTGAACCGAGCTGTTCTAATGCAACGACCTGGTTCAATTTCAACTTCATTTTATTCATTCATCTGACACAACAGGTATACACTGATAATATGCACAAACAGATACACTCATATACATCGGTGTGTAGAGCTTTACGAAAGCATGAATACGAGCGCCTTACTCACCGGCTTGCCGGTTATCAGGAACACCTCATGTTCTGTTTGATAGCAACTTGCCCATTTGTGACCAAAGTTGAAAAGCTATTCGTCCTTAGGATGATTGCTTCTGAAGAGTACTTTCAATTTACAACGACAATTAAAACATGAAACTTGAAATGGATACAGGCTAGGCACAACGGCTGTAGTCGTAGAATCAGGGGCTTCTGATCGATTAGGAGCTCATGTGACTTGATTCTGTCACAATGGATGTTTAAAGTGCGGATCTTTTGTTTGTCTGATGTGTCTGAGGTCATGAAAACCAGGAGTGGATCTTGGTTTGAAGTGATCGCAACTGTGAGCGACAACCTAAGGTGGGTAGTATCAGTGATATCGCAGAAGTCAGCTTCCCACACTATGAGGAACCACGATTACCGTATCCACTTGATTTAACTGTGGCTCAAATCGTCTAAGGGTAAAAGACAAACGAGTGGATGTTGACCGTTTCGTGTATGTCCAGGGTGTGGTGTAAACAATGGTTTCGGTGGTACCAGGGGACGACATACGTTTGCAAAAACGATGGATACGTGCCAGGTTTTGTGAGTTCATTTTCCTTGGCAACTTACTGTTTGCAGTAGATTGCATAGCGATCCGGGGACTGCGCATACACCTGAATCGTGATAAGCTAGTGCGGGAGCGTATATGCAGTTTGGGCAGAACGTCTTCAGTTTGACCTTTCGACTATTCGGAATAAACTTGCCGCTTTAGGTGATAACACACAGTGAGGTGCACACAGTTGCACCTAATGGTTTGTTATCACGTACGTTCCTGTCTGGGGGAACTGCACATACGCACATGGGCACACTGCTTCTTACACTTGTAGTGAGACCACGGGCGCAACTATTTTGAGTTTAGCGTGAGTCGTGTGCATGTCTCACTGGACCCTTTTGGTTCATGGTTACTTTTTGTATTTTCCCTGTCTTGCAGGTGACTGGAATCCCTCTCCACGGAGAACCTACTGCGAGGAGTGTGTAATACCTGTGCATTGAGAGCGTCAGTTAGTGACCAGGAATTGATCGGCCTTCTGAAACTCGAACTGCGTTGTCCGGAGTCAACCTCCTGCCAGTGTATTTCAGTTGGATTCAGTTCTGGGGTCGGTCTCTGTATATTATACACGGAAGGTTGTTTATTCATGTGTTTGTGGGGTGGGCTTTCGTTTGGATCTTATTGCAAGACGGTTTACCGATTTGAGGAGACTATCAATCCGATGTGTGGGACTAACAAAGTGACACCGCAGTGCCAGTCATATTGTTTAGATCCACTTGATCTTTGGGCCAAACGAGCTGAGGTGCAAGAGGCAGCACTTTCGTACAAACCCAGTGGAACGAGTGTAGGAATAGGAATGGCGTCTATCGTGATTGACTTTCACATTCGACGGTCCATCGATCTATACCAATGGAAAAAGATAACGTGGGATCAAGCTGCATAAAACACCTAAATATCCACATCCAGGTTGGTAAATTTAACACATTCGGACGAATAAATATACTTACACCCAAAGTGGACACAGGTGGGACCACACCACTAGTGAATTTCGTCATACCGTTTTTGTTGTCTTCTCAGTTTACCTGTCATTTGTTCTGTACACGGACAAAAATTACCGAATACACGGATCAGACAATCCGGAATTCTGGTGTAGCATTTCAATTCGTAAATCCCAATCTCCGTCTGTGTCGAAAAGTAGGATCAACAAACCGTTTTTGGCCACAATGGTTCTCATATACAAGCCTTACCGTCGCCAGTATTTGCATAGTCGGTTGCCGGGGGGAGGGGAGTAGTTCAGTGGAAACGTTTTGGTTTATTTCTTTCGTATCCGTATCGCTTATGAACGTAGACTATCGAAAATGATTTGTTGCACGGTTCTTGTGCGAAAGCAATCTTAATTAGGGTTGACTGCATATGTTTGACAATATACATATATACACATACATATATGCTTCTTCTTGTTACGTTCGTTATTCACGAGTGTATATGACAGCCGGGCAGAAATAAAAAAAAAAGCTTTTCACACGAGGAATTTTGCTATGAATCACGTGCAGTAGTTCCTGTACAAAAGGATAAGTGGATAAACGGCAGTTTTCCGTGCAGAAACTGGTTTTGATGTTTGACTAATTCTAAAGACTACTTCATGTGAACTATACGGCAAAAAAGCGCCGGTTTTATCTTTGAGTTGGTTCTGGCTATTTTAGTTCCCATCCATCTCGATCTACACTGGACTACATTTCCGTAGGGGTAAGATAACGAAGCAAATCAATTGTTTATCTATTGTCTGTCGGACAAGTTGGGTGTAAGGGAGACAGAAAGAGACCGTGGGCATGGGTAGATCAAACACTGACTGAAAGAGAGGAGAAATATGAAAAGGGATAAGCAAGTTAGAGCGAGATGATGTGTGGGCAGGGTAAGGGGGCTTGGGGGAAGGATGGAACGCAATTCAGAAATTCTTCTATTCCCATTAGTTGCATAACTTGATCGCATGGGAACGACGAATAGAGTCTGGAACATACGCTGACCAGTACGATTCGATTCAACCAGGTGGTCATCATTTACCGTAACTCCGGGTCTTCTCTACCTCTGATTCAACCTGTTAAGCGAAAAGCCTTTATCAAATCGATACATGAGTAGATATCAAGAACTGTGACATATCGAGGGATGCAACATTGCATGGTCAGAAACTATGTTATAAAGCTTGCAGTTGGTTTGAGATTGCCAACAAAGTGGGAAAATATTAGAAAATGCCACTTCTCTGGGGTGCGATATAGCAGGAGATTGACTGTACCTAGCTCGTTTAAATTGGAACAAGTAAATGAGACAATCAAAACGGTTCACTCAACGGGATTAGCTCTTCTATCCCCGGCTGGCTTTTGTTTATACTCTAAATACAGACGCAAGTTACTTGTGTTATTTGAATATTATTCCATGCGTTTTGGGGAAACCATTTTGTAGGAAAACCTCGCGAATGAACGATAGTTCCCCATTTCTGGTGTCCTCAGTGCATATTTGCACCGCCCTGTTTACCAAACACTGAATGAGATTTCTTTTTCGTTTGAGTGGCACAAAGCTTCTGAAATGGAAACACGGTCCGCTCTAAGTCGGTTTTCTGAAAATTGATATCTGAATAGAACCATCCGTGCGACGCTTTAGCCAGATATCGAGAAAACCAATCCCGTCATTAACCTCTTCTATCAAAGTGAACTTGTTTGGATGAGCCGAATTAAATATTCTGACTGAGTTGGAGACCGTGGCGTTTCTGTCAACAAAACACAATGTCGTCGACATATCATCTATACAGCTTGTGTCGCCTAATCGTGAACTTCAAAACAATATTATATATATATATATATATATATATATATAAAGACCAGTTACATATAGTTCAGGATAATTCAATTTGTCGCTTGAGGTTACGCGTTCGGTACGACTTGTCAACAGCCTCCGTTTCATTTGGACGCGGGATCAACAGGATCAACAGGCGGTGACAATGTGTTACACATAATGGACCGCGAGCATTTTGTTCCAATTTTTCTGTGTGTGCGTGCGCGTGTAACCGAGCATCGATAGGGTCAAATCGAACAATACAATGTGTATGTGTGACCCGTAAACTCTATTAGCATAGTGATAACGGAGACCTTGATTGTCCATTCTGTTACGCGTGACGATCGGACATATCGACAAATGTGATGTCCGGATAGTGCAGATCGAGAGATAAACGGGATATCGGTGAAGATCACAGTGCGATTATTCTAAACATGTGTCCGGTTAAAATTCATAGTGTTACAAATTGTGTGCATGTGTAAAACACTCATATGCGTCACACACACACACATACACCATACTGATCATTCGAATGTCACTTTACTGTCTAAATTTACAGTGCGAGATAAAAGTTTCTGTCTGTATTTTGCACTGAGCATAGACAGACCTATTAGGGTTCACTTAGTGCAAAGGTGAATGTATTCCTTCCAAATGGTAACAGTGAGCCTGAAACAAAAAAGAAACTAATGCTATTCGGCCGTACCCCTTTACTCGAACTCGGTGAAAGTGTTACTCGACACGGGAGCAGCAGAAGCAGCAGGTGATTCAGTGCTTCCCACCTTTGCTCTATCTATTTCAAACGATGGGTTTAATCACAGTATTCACGAACAAGTTATACAACAACAACTCAAGCCGTTCAGGGAGACGTGGCATGTGTAGAAGCTAGGAACTGCGAGCATTCGATTGTAGATTGGTGCCCAAATATGAACAGTGTCGGGCAATACGAACCGAAACCATTTAATGTGAAAACGTCAAGTGGAGTTCAGTTTCAGTTTGAACAACCATTAGGCATTCAATTCTGTACGTCGTTTTTGGTTGCTGTCTTTTGGCTACCCATTTAGATGAACAATGGGAGGAAAACAGGAAGGCTAAAAGTAGGGTCGAAGAGAAGTTCTGTGGACTAATGATGCAAACAAATTGAGAAAATGCATGAACGTCCCTGTTTACGACACCCAGCCATACCAATCAGTGTATCTAACCATCGGTTACGATCATCCCGAGGTCCCCAGCCAGGGAGCCTAAAGGGACCTATGTGACAGTCTCCTGGTTAGGGTTTTCATACCCTCAGGCCAGGTTCTTAGCTCGATCACCCCTGATGTCATTCCACCCACTACCTGCCTTGGCGAACATCGCTCGTCATGGCAACCTATATGGTGTTATGCATAACACGTACCCGAACCAGCGTAATCTATGGAGGTCGACTACCTGTTCCAGTGGACGGCCGCGATTACCTAAAACTCTACGCCTAACCTCAACATTGTTCGCCCGGTTTCCTCACCAGACTCGTGCAATGCTACATAGACATAGATGTTCGAACACCAACAGTCTATCTTTATTCTCTTCCGTCGTGGCCAAGTTTCTGCACCGTAAAGCAGAACTGGCCGAACTGCCGCGGCATATACTAGGCCCTTCACAGACAGCCGGATGTCACGACAGTGCTACAGATGTCTCAAGTTGGTAAATGCCAACTGAGCCTTTTGTATGTGAAACTTCCACGAGGTAAGATGTATTTGCTCATATAATATAACTTGTCTACTATCGTTACTTCTTCCCCAGTCAGGATTAGGTTGGAGGCTGAACCAACCGAATTCTGTATTAGCATTTTGCACTTTGAAGATGTAAAATGCATACCGAACATGGCTATGTTGGCATTCAAGCTATCCAGAAAAGCGTGCAACTTATCTGGATCTTCACTTATTAGCACAGTATCGTCTGCGTTCTACCATCTGGGAGCAAATAGATGCCACTATCCTCGCACGAGGATAGGGCTATTTCCATAATGGAATCTATAAAAGCTAAAGGTCAAGCGGAATTCTATCCCGGATAGATTACTTTTGATTGACATGTAGGCTGATAGTGCTCGAAAACATTTTAACATTGGAAGGGCCTTGAAAAGTCGTTGCACAACTCAAAAGATGATTTTTCGATTTACGCACACACCTAAATACACCTACGGCTGGCAAACAAGCTATGCAATTTGCAAGCTTCTTTGCATGGTTTGAGTGTTAGTCTAGCCGTGTTCGGTATGCATTTTGCACTTCCAAAGTGTAGAATGTTGCTACAAGATCTGGTTA